AGCCACGCTCAACTCCCCATCAAGCTTGGACGGTTGTAAATCGGCGATACCTGCAACGGCAGCCATTTCTTTCCAGGCTGCTTTCCATCGATATTCTGATTTCTGACGCAAGACCTCAACTTCGTTCAACTGAATCTCTGCTTGCAACACATCCGCCCGAGCAGCCTCTTTAGCGTTGAAACGTCGCCTTGCTAAACCTACCCCCCTAAAAACGATTGCATGAAATTCATCGATCATTTCCATTTGTCGCTGCGCAACCAATGCTTGGATAAATTTCATGCGTACGTCGGTTAGTACGCGATACCGCTGCGACTCCACGTCCCAGCGTTGAGCTTCTACGGAGTGGCCCAAAATATTCTGATTTAATGCAAGCTTATCGCCAGTAACAAATTCTCGTTGGACGTACACCAAGTGCTGATCCGTCCCCTGATCGGCAAGTTGATTCGCAGCATACCCGACTTCAGGGTTTGCCGATCGGCCGACCTGGTATTGGTAGTCCTGCTCCGCCTCAGCTGACGCTGACAGGGCACGAATCGACGGATTGTTAACAAGTGCCAAGTCCTGAATCTCTTTTAGCGTCATTGCCTCCTCTGTCACCTGAGGTATTGGAATCGCCTCGCTTGCATTTGTCACATGGGCCGTTTCAAGGAGATTGGTGGATTGAAAATCGACCAATTCCACACCATTCCTCTCAAGTGATGCCGTATGGTAGCTTTCAGGTGAATTATTGAGCACAGAAGTCAGTGATGCCTTCAATTCACTTGAAGATGCGACATCGGTTGCAATTGGTCCACGTTCCTGTTGGATCGCATTCTGAGACGCACCCGTTTGGCAGCCCGCTATGCTCACAACTCCCAGGGATGCCATGATCAGACATCGAAGACTTTCCTGCGTGATTTTCATACCAAGATCCTTGCTAATTTAGGTCATTTAGACTGGGGCATATTGCGGGTCATTAACTAACTTAGGTGAATCTCGACATCGACATTGGAATTGATCGGTAACCGCGTTTAGGTAGTTTCACCAATAACAATTGATCTACGGAAAATTGAACTCGAAATCCGGTATCCCAATTCGGTCTTTTCTGCTATGAAATTGGGTCAGTTGAAAACTTTCACCAACGTGGCAGGACAAATAAAATGCTATCGAGCAAGCAAATTCGTAAATTAGCCGCCGTCGGGCTAATTGGGATGTTGCTGCTTGCGACATTTTTACCGACTTGCCACTGCATGCCTTCCGGCATGTCAGTAGGGAATCAGTGTCTCGCCTGTGAGCGGAACTGTTGTGACAATGCTCCCGGTAGCCAGCCATCCA